ATCCACCACATCGACAAAGATGTTCTATACAAAATTAAAACTGATAAAATCTTCAATATGATTGATCATATAATCTTTTTCGCTATCTCGCTTAGTTTCCGGGATATCCGTCCTCAACTATGGCTGATTTTGAAAAAAAAAAAATTGTCTCATGTTTATTGCTGTTTTTCAAGTTTTCGCTTATATCAGGAAAACTATCCATCGCATCGCCAAAAACGATCTAAACAAAATTATAATAATAATAATAATGCTTTATTTATTATGGGACGAGTCCCTTTAGAATAATACAGAGAAACAAAAATGTGGGCTAAGGAGCCTCAGAGATACATAAACAAGAGTATAGTTTGATTAAATAGTAAAAAAAAAAATAATAAAATAAAAAAATATTTAGAGAAATTATAAGTTACTTTCTAATTTACATCAGTTAATAATAAAAATAAAAAATTGTAAATAAACATGATGTAAAAATAATAAAGAACGATCTAATAATTTATATACATATTTACAGTAGTAACTATTTACAATTTTATGATGAGGACTGGATGGATAAGAAATGATTAAATAGTTGGGATTTAAAGGTAGAAAGGGTTTTGGATTGACGGATGTGGGGAGGGATGGAGTTCCATAGGGAAGAGGATCGAATAATAAATGATTTATCGAATGCGGTGGGCCATTATATATAGATCTGAAGACCGGGAACGGGTATTGCGGGAGTGGACAGAGGATTTAAATTGAAGGAGCTCGGCGATGTATGAAGGACGGCGGGAGTGAATTACTTGGAAGAGGAAGGATGCCAGGAAATACTTACGGCGTTGGAAGGATAAAGTCACTTCAACTCTTCATAGAAACAGAAAACAGGAGTGTCTCTTGGGATCCCGAAGATGAATCGTACGAAGCAATTTATCAAACGTTTTAGTTTCGCCTCGAGATCCCCAATGCTATGTAACCAAATTAAAGCTGGTAAAATTTTCAAAATGATTGGTTATAAATCTTTTTCGCTTTCTTACTTAGTTTCCGAGATATACCTTCCTTATCTATCGCTAATGTGGAAAACAAATTTTTAAAAAGGAAAGATGGAGAAGCTCATGGTTTTTACCGTACTTGACTAGCTCTTGATTATTTCGTTCTACAAATAAGTCATACGAAAGGTTTTAATAATTAAATTTTCTTGAAGAATATATATTATTTTACTAGTTTATCTTCAACGGTTAAAAAGTTAGATCAATTATAACTTTATATATCAATTCTGAGAATTTGTAGAAATTTTTTTTTTTTTTATGTTTCATTTTTTTATGTTATTATATTGCTCAAACTCTCTATACTTCTACAACTCGACGTAGATACTCTTATAAACACACACATATACACAGGCGATCTACAGAGAGAGGAGGTGGGACTTTCAGGCTGAAGCCCCCCAAAATGGTAGAATGTAACCATGTTTTATGTAAAAAATTATCTTTTAAAGTAATATTATTCGTGTAATTTAATAGGACTTCAAGAATCACTTAAACATCATTTGATATAGTTATTTAGTATCTTTCTTTTTTTCTAAAGTAATTATCGTTTTATATATATATATATATATATATATATATATATATATATATATATATATATATATATATATATATATATATATGAAATAAAAACCTATCTGGATGAACCCCCTCCCCCAAAAATAAATTCTGGATCCGCTAGTGCACATACATATAAGTTAAGTTATTTAGTAATACAGGAATTATAAATAAAATAAAAGGCAATGAAGTGAACACTGTGACTGCTTGAACAAAGCTAACTTTATTTACGAACTTTTGTTTCGAAAAACAATGCTAATTAAAACGTACGTTTTTTTTATATATTCTTTTATAAATATATATATATATATATATATATATATATATATATATATATATATCTCACGAAGTGAATTTCGGTTTCTTTGGTACAATACTTAAAACAGAACTGAATACATAAAGTAATAACAACCTCAAAGCTAAAAGAAAAAATATATATAAAAATAAGTAATAGTTCCTTATTCAAAAAATAAAGGTTACACTATTGATAAAACATATAAAGATTATCTGACAAGATTTACAAAAGAACTCTTAATTAACATAAATACTAAAGCTTGAACAAATTAATAAATAAATTAGACTGAAAAGAAAAAGAAAATTGTTTTTATTTTATAATACAGTTACTGGCGATCGCTTCTTGTGACAATATTCTCTACCTGGATCAAGAGAGATTCGAAGGTGCTGTATATATATATGGGTTTACCTCACTCTCTGAGCTCTCTTTAGCTCTTGAATAGTCAGGATGCCCTTAGTTGGTTCCAATCCATCCAACCGCCATCTGTATTTCCTTGCTACCTTTCTATACCAAGCCATCCGAACTCAGCGACCTTCCTATATTTTTCACAGCCTATAATTTAAATATTCCACTCAATCCCGTCCCACTAGATCCCGTACCTCTATCCACCTCCTCACCGAACTGTTGTGTTTGATAAATCCTTTATAATTCAACCCGTTTCCTTCTGTAATACCATCCCTCTAGATATCCGACATGCACAAACAGTTTCCTCATTTAAATCTCTCCTCTTTAACCACCTACTCCTTTCCCAACCCGATTGGTCACGAAATGTAGATAAGAGAATTTTATAAGTTCCCTCAGAAATTATTTTGTTCACTTATGTTATTTTATTTTCCCACGTTTGTTTTATGTTTTATGTTATATATCAGTAGATTTTTAGTATTTTTTTGTTTTTCTCTTCTTCTAATATCTTATCTTTGATGAGATTTTTAAATAGACAATTTAATGTATGGCCACACAGGCATTTCTTCTGTAACTATACTTTGTCCTAAAGGGACAACAGTCCCAGGGTAATAAAAACATATTTTCATTTCAATGTTATGTTCTCCCAGTGCTACCACTTTGACTGGCCCTTCATACCGTTGAACCCCTTTCAATGACTGGACGGTGGTTGGTAGTATACCATCATGCCTAATGAAATATTGTGGGATTCGTCCGGTACGGCCATGCAGAGACGGTTCGCCCTTGAAATTTTGTCTCGAAAAAGTTTATTGTCCACTCACTGGAATATCATTCTACATCAAAAGGCCTGATAGAGATAAATTTATAATATAATTTATAATAATCCACTTAAAATTACCGGGTTGATGTCAATGTTGGGAAAAATCAAATCTTCGCCATTTAAAATTTTATTAATACCTTTCAGAATTGTGAGCTCTAAATTTTTTAAAGGAACTTCTTCCATTTTTTCATTTAAAGTTTCAACCACTTGGCCTGGTACCACTGGTGTTATATCCAAGTGTAAAAACTATTTCATGTCTGTTGTTTTAAGTTTAAATTCAATATTTCAACATTGATGAAAATGATGGAGATACTTTTGGCATTTTAAATAAACAGAAATGTGATCTCTTGCTAAGAACATATGCAACAAACTAAAATAGTAACTTAGAATTATGTTTACGTGGGACAAGAAGAGGAAATGGGTTTCTATGAATTTGTAATATATAAAGATAATTATTAAAGTTTACAGCGGAAGTTAGGTAGGTATACAGTCTACAAATGTGGTAGATTTGTTAATTGAAAATAAGCCTAGGATTGTAATCTTGAATATTGCATTTTAATTTGTATATATCTCTTAGAGTCTTACCTTATCTTCCACATGTGGGGGAAGGGGCCCGACTTGGAGCTCCCTCGGCTGACTGTAAATATTGTAAATAAGCAGGAATGTTTTATTTATTTATTTTTCTCATTTATTTTTGTTTTGTTTTTATTTGTGTTATATCATATTTTATTGTATATATTGTATGAATGAGTTTCTTATATCTCAAATACTCAATGCCCTTGATTAAGGCAAAATGTGTTTTTTCTCAATAAAAAAAAAAAAAAATGTATAATAAATAAATATTCATTTACATATATATATATATATAATAAACAATATATATATATATATATATATATATATATATATATATATATATATATATATATTTTGTTTATTTCTTTAAATTAATCAAAATATGTAATTATATGTATTTATAAAATATTTTTATAATTAGAAAATGATCTTTCTATATCAAAAAGGCGTGATAAAGGTGAATTTATAACAATCCACTTAAAATTACTGTTTTTTTGTTTGGAACAATTGAATCTTTGCCATTTAAAATTTTATTAATACCTTCCAGAATTGTGAGTTCTAAATTTTTTATAGGAATTTCTTCTATTTTTTGCATCATAGTGTTAAATATGCCAATAAAAGTATAAAATTTGCCAATAATTTGTTAGGTTGTAAGAAGAAAGGATAGAAAATATTAACATCAATTTTTTTCATTCAATTCATTTATTATAATTAGATTTAAAAAATATTTTACAAATTTACTAATTTAACAGATCATAAAACATGTTAAAAGAGTCACATACATGTAAAGGAACTATTTAAAACAGATATGATAAAATTACAAATAATGCTTTCAAAGGACATAAAATTATCTAGACTAATCAAATGCATCTTAATGGTAATTTCTGGTTACTTCAAATTATGTACATTTGTTTACAATAAAAGAAATATACATATCACTTATGTAGAATATCATGCCATAAAGTCTATACATAATCAGTTCAAATAATTTTAACAAATAAAAACATATAACAAAATCGAAGGTGAGATTTAAATAAACATACAAATATTTATCAATAGACAAAATATTTTTTTGGCAACAAGCATAATGAGATTATTAAAATAAAAAAGATTTTTTTTTTCTTTATTAAGAAAGAATCCTTAAGTTTGGATTACATCTAAAAGACACTTCGGTTTCCATTCAATTTTAACGTATATATTTGTTAACACATGTTAGAAATCTTATATTGATCACATAAATTATAAAATGTTTTGAGCAGCTCTGGTATCTGTCAAGTCTCTTTTATCTTACACAAGATCAGTGGTGAATAGGCACTAATTAATTAACCTCATTTTAGTCTATGGCATTCGACGGTGTCAGTTCACATGGCCTTTTAAATTCTTGGTCTCTTTCATGAAGCCACTTGTTAGAAACTGTAAAAGAAACAAATTTGGGCATTTTCAAATAAATATATTTTTTCAAGTTACAACATCTACAGATTGTATATATTAAAATCTACAGAATGATACTAATTACAAATGTATTCTAATTGTAGGCGCAAAGCAATGCAGTCAGAAACTTTGAGTGTCAAAGTAATTGTAATTGTAAATATATCTATTAATTTTTCTTCTTTTAATCTTTAATTTTAATGTTTTTTTTTTCAACTTTTCTTCTTGTAATTTTAATATTTAAATTTTAGTCTTTAACTTTTCTTCTTTTTTTTTTTATTTATTTTATTTTAATGAAATTTACAATGTATTACATAGAAATACATTATTATTTACAATGTATTACACAGAAATACATACGTTATTCTGTATTACTTAGAAAATATAATAAGTAAATGTGACATTGGTAACATGACATGTACAACATGAAGAGAAACTACCCATTGGTAGAACTCAAATTAAAGTTCTGTATTAGAAGGTCCCGAGGCCATCTTCTTTTCAGACGCCTCGGAGGGTTATCAGGGATTGAGGAGGAAGCAAGGTTTGAAACGAGAGGATTCGGATGGTTCTGCTGTTTGTTATGGAAGGATAGGTATCTGGATTGTGCCAAATCGGAAACATATGGAACATTAAGATCTTTATGGATGATTTTATTTGTGACAAAGTAAGGAGCGTTGAAGATTTTATGAAGGATTTTGGATTGTAAGAGGAATTCTATGGTTTAGTGGAGCCCCAAAGCTCAATTCCGTAAGTCCAAATAGGTCTTATTATTGTCATATATATGAGTGGCTTGTAATTGACTGAAAGCTTAGAGCGTTTGTCTAGTAAGTGCTGCAGTAGTCAAAAACGTCGGGCTGTTACTAGTCGTTTCAGTCTGGTATGGGGTTTCCAAGTGAGTCGTTTGTCAAGGTGGAGTCCTAAGTATCAGATTTGTTCGACAGGGATAAGAGGGCTATTGTTGAAGGATACTGTAGGACAGGAAGTCATAGGCGAAGAGTGAAAGTAATTTGATGGGATTTATTTTATTGGAATTGGTATTTATTGGAATTTATTTTAATCCTCCAGTTTTGACACCATTCTTCAAGACTTGTAATGTGTGATTGAAGAGTTTGGGATGCAATAGATGGATCGTTATTAACTGATAGGAGACATGTGTCATTGGCATAGGTGGTGATAACAGTGTTGGATTGGGTTGGGATGTCAGCTGTATAGACTATGTAAAGGATAAGACCTAGGACACTACCTTGAGGAACACTGGCAGACATTTCTTCTTTTAATATTAATTTTTAGTTTTTACAACATATTTTTAGCTTTTATTCTTAAAATCATTAACCTTTATTTGAATTGTCTCTGCTAACTTTTCTTCTTTTAATCTTTAACTTTCAAGTGTACTATCATATTCAACTGTAACTATTTTTAACTTTCTAAGCTTTAAATTGTATTTGTTAGCTTTAGTTTTGTTATGTATGCCTATGTAGTACTTGGTCCAATTGTAAAATAGAGCGAAAATGACCCAGGTGGTTGAAGAGCCCAAAACTTTTATAAATAAATGTCAAAGCAAGCAAAATAAACACATAAGAACAATGTTAATGTAAATAATGTAACTATTTTATCTTTATTTAGAGAATTTTGATAATTTGTAACATTTGTTTGAAATAATAATAAAAATTTACTAAATTCAAAGAATATAAAATTTTTATAATAATAAATTTAATAATATAATGGTCGTATATTTTAAAAGTCATGGAATAGTGAGTTAACACAAATCTAGATAGCACTGAATTGAATAAATTTGATGAATTGAGCAGTCTTAGCTTGTTCTAAAAAAGGTTTTGAAAGTTGGTTATAAACATTTATCAGTGTAAAGGTAACGTTTTTTGTAAACAATTTTGTCAATAACTCTTTTAATAGTGTGAATTCTTTGACGCATATATTGTAAAGCGAACAAGTGTTTTGCATTAATCTAAACCACCAAGCTTCCAGTAAGAGTTTTAATTTAAAATAATTATTGTAGATTGTTAATAACAATAAAAAATAAATTGCTAAATTTATTGTTGTTATTTATCAAAATCTACTGAAAAATATATTGATATTTTAATAAAATGAATTTACCCCATTTGGATCCAGCAAGGACGGGACAAGCAGCGTGCCTCGTGTTGTAATCGCCCTCGCCGTCCGGGAACAAATTGTACCAGAAAGCAGCAGTACCTTTTTCTGGCCAAAGTGCTAAGCGAAGGTTAGGGAACACTGTAGCGCCACCTTGAGCTACGTCACTCATCTGGAATCAATAGATTATCTTTAAATAACATTTAAAACTTCCAGGTATACAACAATTGGTTTATTCATTATTTTATATGTTAAATTGAGGCTTCGGGAAAATTATTTCTATCCCAAAATTCCACATTTTCATAGCAATTCATGGCTAGAAAAGAGGCAATTAAAAAAGAGCTACGATACATGTCACAGTTGTGTTGTTACAACAATTTTTATAATTACCTAAAGTCTGATGTGCTCCTTTATTATGTTTTGAAATTTATGTTATAAATAAAATAAAATACAATTATAATATCTGTAGCATCAACATTCCTAGGACCAATAATTAGGTGCCTATTATGGGCAAAACTATTGACCTTCGGACATGATTATTTACCCTTTTACTATTTATTATTAGATGACTGTTTTTTTATGTAGCTGCATTTCAGTTTTACTATATTTTAATTTTATTTAATGTATCAGCATAGTGTGTTCTCAAATGTTTGGTATCTGTTTTGTAATTTATTGCTGTTCTATTGTTTTTTTGTGATGTGTATGGCTTCAAGTAATTTTCTATTGTTGTTTTTTTGTTCTTTGGTTCTGTGGTTTATTGAAATTGAATTTGTGTTGTAATTTTATGTTGTGATATGCTAAAGCAGTGGTGTTTATGTTGTTTGTATTTTTGCAGTTGGTGATATGCTGTGAGATTCTAGTCTTAAGTGTTTGGATGTTTCCCCAATGTAAATTTTGGAGCAATTTTGATAGTTTAATTTGTAAATTATATATTTGTTGTCTAACGAGTTTTCCTGAAACCTCAATGTAACATGTAAAACAACAAATAAACCAATTGTTATATATCTGGAAGTTTTCATTGCTGAAAATAGAGAATATTATACAGTTTCCCAGAAAAACAAAGAAGATTTATTTTCATTTCAAATAATCTGAGAACAATAGCTCTATTCTTGTTAATGATTTAGATAATTTTTAGAGACAACCATACAACAGTCAGCCAACTTTAAATTTCTTATTTAAAAATTAAATTGACTGGATATTAATTTTGAAACTTACATAAAATAGTATTGTTGCTATCCTATTTCCAGTTCCCAGAGAATCAAAAGCATTCTTTTCATCCTTCTGAAAAAAAAAAAAAAAGCAAAACAAAATATATATAGGATCAATGTAATAGAAGTATTAATGTCATTAATTCAGCTTTGAACTTCAATGGCACATTCCTTCCATTTGTTATAACAGGAAGGAATGGGTCATCTTCACAGTCTTTTTTAAAAGACTAAAATAATAATTCTTCAATAGTTCATAATTTCGAACAAAAAAAAAAAAAAAAATTATGTTTCCCTCTAAATGAAGAAAAGTGGCCATTAATTAGTTCAAAATTTGGAAAATTGATACTTCATGAAAGAAAAACATACCCTGGCGAAATCAAAATGTGGTTCATAGTGACCTCCAATTCCGTAGTTTACAACCTGAAGCTCTTCTGCAGAAGAAACAGAAAGCTTGGTCATATCTTCAACCCTTTTTGCGACTGCGTCAACAACTGGGTGTTCCTCTTCCTTCAACCAGGCAGATTTGCTGATCCTGTAGTGAGCTGTTTCTAGCTCACCAGTCTTATGGTTTTGGACTGTTGCTCGCCGTAGCTGAAAGGAAATCGAATCAATCATTAGAACAACACAAAAACTAGCACTGTGAAAAGTAAGATTTTACTAAAGAAAGTAATAACTTAAACTGATGCAGCTTTGTTAATTAGTATAAATTATTAAAATAAAATTTATATTTTAGATAAAGGAGTTGTGTAACAACTTTTGGTACTATTTCACTAGCCGGCCGGGTCGAAACCTCACTTCTTAAATGTTACCTAACGTCACGCCACATAAACTCCCTCTTCTTATCCTGCCAAACCTTTCAGTTATTACATTGTTTATTTATCAGTTATTCCCTTATTACGTTCACTTATTAAATTCTTTATTTTTGGCCTGTTTGTGTTTATTTTTCATTTTTTTTTTTTTAGTTTATTTTCGTTAAATTATAAATCTTATTACATTCTGGGATTTACCGTCTTCAGAAGAACAGGCTATTGAATATTTTAAAAACGTTGGGATACTTGCCGACATGAAATTGTGTGAACTAGGTCATCAAATGAAGTTAACCAGGAACGCCAAATGGAGTTGCCATCGTAGCACTTGTGACATAAAACTTTCAATAAGGAAAAACATGGTTGGAGGGTTCGAGGATTTCGTTTTTAGCGGCTTTAAAATTGATTTATGGGTGGTACCATAACTTAACAATGATGAAGTGGGGCAAAGAGCAGCTGAATAGGTGCCGTTCTTCGCTATTTTAAATAGCATAAAACTATTTTGTGTACCAAAATAAATTTTTTCTTTTATATGTACATATGTTCTTTAATTGTTTTTTTATTATTTCATTTTCATCTTTTATATGTACATATCTTCTTTAAGTGTTTTTTATTATTTCATTAATATAATAAAAGTTTTTTTTTATGTTATTACATTTGTTTTTGTTTCTGTTTACATTTTCAATAATACGAATATAATACAATAATATGAAGATAGGAATTACGAGAAGGTTTATCACTGCCTTATCGGAATTATCAGTGTTCAGGTTATAAACATTGGCAGATAGCAGTCAGTGCCGGCCTGCTGGTGAAGAAGTACCAAACTTTTTTTCCCACCATTTCATTAAAAACTTTTGAGGCCATATGGATTCAATAAACCTGATTTAAAAAAGTTATGTGACCTCAGCATCGTCGATAAATATTTTTATAATTGAACAATAAAATAAACTATAAATATATTTCAATAGAACTTACCCTGGGTAAAGCCATTTTTTTGATAACCTCAATTTCTGAGTCGTACATTGCTTCTCTGAAAAGAACAATCCTTGGGTTTAAGTATGCTTCTTCTTCCTTAAATGGGGCTAGTCTGTAATTAAATTTTTTTTTTTTTTTAAATACATAACAATTTTTTATAACTAAGCAACAATAAAGGAATTTAAATAAAACAATGTGTATACTAAATCATACTTCAAAAATGGCACGCCGTTATCAACATAGCGACATTTCAACTTAGAAGTGATACTGATTGGAGGAGAAACCGCATTTCTGCATGCCATTTCGTATAGCTCTCTTTCCAATGGCTGATCATATTGTGGCTCTTCCTTTTCCTATAGAATAGAAAGTATTTCGATAATTACATTGAACATTAATTAGTGAAAAATATACAGTCAAGAAATGTTTTGTCTTTTGCCAAAAAACCCAATTTGAAAAACAATCAGTATCCTTATATATTATTTCTCAAAGGTGTTTTTTTTGTGGATACACCATATCTTTATTAATTTTTTTATCAAATACAATGATTGAGCACTTGTTTTAAAGATTTTCTTCTCCTTAAGATGGGAAAATGCACACCCAAGTGAAACGTCTTGAAGAACTCACTTCAGAAAATAAGGTAAATCGATTAATCTAGAGCTGAAATCCAGAGTGCGCGTACTTGAGGTGCACATTAACAAAGATCAGTAGATACTTTGAAGATCAGTAGAAAATTCGACGAGATTCCTTACCTCAGCGTTGAGCTCATCTATGGCATCGGGGATCACCATCAAAGGAAACCATTTGTTTCCATAACAGCTTTAAGAGGATTAACCGAGGTAAGGAGGTGGTGTTCAGGAAAGGAGGAAATTTTTGTAAGTGACATTTGACCTCAGAAGGATTAACTGCTGTAGGGGGTAAGGAGAATGGAATGGGTGATGTAAGGAATTCTTCTTCTGTCCCCCGAAATTTAAATGAAAAAAGTTATGAAGGAAAAGAATCTTTATTTGTGAATAATTCAAAAAGTAAACTTTTTTTTCTCGATTACATCAATTATTTAAAAGATTACTAAATCCCTTACAAAATCAAAAAAATAAAAATCATTAGAAATTTATATAGACTAAAGGAGCAAAGTGGTTTCAAATATTCTTTTAAGGAGAAACTAAGTTGAGATTTGTATTTCACACTCCGAAAAAACCTCAAATACGATTTTTCATAGCAATTGAAAAACAAACATTTTTGCGTCCACAGGCTTCACCCTTCACTTTTTTTTCTTCAAACCAGGTGAAATGACACAAACCAGACCTTATCAAGGAAAAGAAACTTTATTTGTGAATAACTCAAAAAGTAAACATTTTTTTTCTGTTATTTGTAACTAAATTCCTTAAAAAACAAAAAACAAGTTATCAAAATCAGACCATTATTAGCGAAGATACAGCTTATTGTAAATTGTTAACATGTTTTTTAAAAACATGTAAGACATTTTTAAATAGTTTTCTTTTCCTTGGTATATCACAATTTCTGAGAAAATAAGGATTGATCCTTCCTTCTTAAGACATGTTGAATTATTTTATTTCCTTATTTTTTTGTTAGTTTTACACTGATTCTATGCGGATTATTTGCATCAACCAATCAATTAATATTTATATAAAGTTAATAGTATTCCTCATAGTCAAAATAATCTTCTATGTATTAAAATACTGACTTGAGAATTAACCTAGATAAATAATATTTCATAAGGAGTAATGTTACTTCAATTAAATCCAGAAATATTTTTTTAAAAAATATATTCAATATTTGTATTATATAAATTAAGAATAATAATATAAACAAAATTATTAGAGAATGTTTATTCTACGGAAGTCACAATTTGAAATTCAATACAACATAGCATAATATTCAATTACCTCTGTTGCCTTTTGTTCTTTAGGAACTCCTTTCTCTATAGCTTTCAGGTAGTATACTCGGTTACCGATTGCGCGCGGGTGATCAGGAAATATCTCCAACAATTCATCTGTCATAGCGAGTGCTCCAGGAACATTACCTGAAAAATTAAAAAAAGTCAGTATTTGGAAAAAAAAAATGTTTAAAATATCATAATCACTTAAATCTATATTTAAAAAACTTATATGTTGTCAATAATGTATTTTACTTTTTCATTTGTTAATGAAATGTGTCCAAACATTGAGAAAATTGAGATAAAATTGTGAAAATCAAAACCAAAATTTACTAAATAAAGTACTTAGTAAATATTGAGATTATGAAAATAAGACCGGTGGTTTACTGTGTTAGAATCAAGCACTAAACTTTACATCCAGGGAGTTAACATTTTATGTATAGCCTCAATCAATTACTAGTTTATGCCAAAACAAGTCTATAGATAAATAGATAGAAAATAAACTTAATTCTGAGAAAATTTTCCTAAAGAATAATAATTATGTACAAATAAGCAAAAGTAATATCTGGCAAAAACTACATTAACAAAAATTCAATGGGTTTGAATTGTAGGAGACTGTAGATGTAGGAAAGGTGTTGGATAAAGCAAGTATTGTTGGCAGAAAGTGAAAAAAAAAAAAACTTTAACTCCCCATAGGCTGGGATACATGAGACTGTCTCGCAGTACTTAAGACAAATCTTAATAAGCAGTTCATGATAGAACTAAAGGGATACATAATATAAATAAAACTACATATTACTTGTATATGTTTGAATAAAATTACTACCTTGCATATAAGTTGAATATGCTAAGTATTCAAGTATTTCCCATCGAGCAGTTTCAGTATTATTTTTTTCCCTCTCATGTCTGTTAAGTGCTTCGGACATCCAAAGCACAGTGTGGTAGAAATCCTGATGGTTGTAAGACTGGCGGCCAAGTTCAAAGCAATCACCAGCTGAAAAAAAAATTATAATAATTTTTTATAATAACATTTAAACTGTTATTGAATTTTCTTATGGATATATTTAAAATTAAAAAGTATAATTCATGTCAAGTTATTTTTAAATTTAATATTATAATTCAACTTTATATACTTGTTTGAATTAAATTATAAATTACTCTCCATTAAAACATATATAATTTAGGGAAGAAGACGGTCCGGGGTGGCGGTCATAAATAGATTAAATAGTGGCAAAACTATTTTATTAAAAGCCAACATTTGGAGCCGACTTTGCAGTTCTTCTTCTACAAAAAGATATAGAGAATTGTGGAAGTTACATAATATTAACTTATTAAAATTATAAACAATAAGTACATTAAAATATTAGGAACAATAAGTTGTATAAACAGAGTAAGCTAAGTAAAAAGATCCTAAAATGAAGTAAATAGATGGTAACAATTGTTGTAGTATAATATATGCAATTGTAAATATACTCCTACAAATCTACAGGAAAGATTAGAAGAAAAGGAAAAAGGATATAATATGAAATAATAGATATAAAGGGATATGGAGAAATAAAATAAAAAATAAGTAAATAAAATTAGGAGAATAAAAATAGAGACTTAGAGAATAAAAATAGGTGTGTTCAGTAAGGAGCTTCACTTAAAACTGGAAAACTTGTTCTAGCCCTGAAGAAGACCTGCAAAGTCGGGTCGAAACGTTGGCTTTTAATAAAATAGTTTAGCCACGATTTAGTCTATTTATGACCACCACCCCGTACCATCTCCTTCCTTAATAATACAACTGTCAACTATCAAGTATTCAATATATAATTTAGGATAAAGTTTTTTTATTTAAAACCACACATTTAAAGCCGTTTTCAACTAAGATAGCCATATCAATAAAACATTTATATTTAAATTTCATAGGTGTACCTTTGATAACATTAGCCAAGTTAAAAAATAAAATTTTAATAGATTTTCATATTAAAGAAAAAAAAATTTGAAAATAAAGGTGGAAATTTTTGAATGAATAAACAGATCCTACACAAGCCAGACAAAATGATAGTATCAAACACATCAAAATATAAAACAAATTTTGTAATAATTTATTATTTTATGCAAGCAACATTATTTTATCATTTTTTTTTGTCCAAGAATCCAAAAAAGAGTTGGATCAAAAACGACCCTTCTTGCTAACTGCCCTAGAATTTTGAAAGTTAATAGTCGAATAATATATGAGTAAACAAGATAGATATATTTATATCAGTTACCAGACAGCTGGGTGGCATACTGTATCCCGTTGAGTTCCCCTTTGGCCAAGGAGGCGGTGTCTATCTTGTAAGTGTCCTGCAATCTGATGAGGGCGATGGCGGCCCCGGTCAAATCTTCGTCTGTAGGCGACTTCATGAATTTTCTTATCTCCGTCATGTTTCGAAGAGCCTCTGAAAGTATACACAATGACAAAAAAAATTAATTTTATCCATTTTATTAAATAGACATTTAGGTCTAATCAATACTAAATTTACAATAAATATATGGTTAAAGTTATTATACATAACCATTATATCTACTTTAATGCATGTAATACTTAATAATTAATTAGCGGGTGTAATAATAGTTTTATGAGTATAGTGCCAACTGAGAGAGTACAAAAAAACATGATCGAAGAGCTATATGATCAGTTTCTGGAATTGAAAAAACTTCCAACAATTTCATTCATGTTCAGAGGGGAACGGGATGTAAATATAATAGTTTTAATTCTATTTGTTATCTTCAGTCTTTTTATTTACCTATTAGTAGTGGTTTGTCTACAAGTTGTAATATAAGGTCAAAATAACCCTGGTGGTTGAAAAGCCCAAAATAATGTTATAAATAAATATATAATTTGTAAATAAGTTTTAAAAAAATGTACCGTTACGAAGGTTTAAAAAAGTAAATATATAGAAAAAATTCTATACACCCAAAAAAACACCAACAAATTTTAAAGAACTGAAAGTATTCGGTGAGGCCGTTTTATAGTATAATTATTATTTTAAAAAATACTAAAAACTTAGAATGGAAAGGAATGTAATGGATAACTCAAAGTTAAAAACTTATTTAAAAAAAAATTAAATGTGTTCTTTTTTATTTATTTATATTTAGGTTATTTTATTCTTATTTATTGTATATAATATTATTTTTCTGTGTAATTTATTTTCATTTATTGTACATAGAGTGTGAATGTGATCTCTGAACACTATTATAAATGTCCTTTGAGACAGATTGTAATATTTTTCAATAAACAAGTTAATATTGAAAAAAAAATTAAAAATTTAATTAATTACAAAAATATGAAAAAACTAAAAATACTATTGAGATTACAATAATTGGCAACAGAGAGAGATGCCCATCCCAGTTCAATGGTGCATGACCCACTCCAAAAAAAAATTGAAACTTTATTACCTGGTACCTTTTCTTCAGTGAAAAGGAAATTAGAATTAGAAAAGTTATAGTTCATAAACAATAACAATTAAAGTAGTAGGCTCCATGTTTTTTTCCTGTTTACTGATTTGAAAGTTCCTCCAAATTGAAATACCACAGAAATATGGTTATATACAAAACTTCATAGTACCATAAAAAGTGCCCCTTCAAAAATTTTGATATCCATATACATCTTTTTGGGTATTGGTACTGGTAAAACGGTAGCAAATCGACACTGTCAAATTTGGAAGATAATTTTTATTTGTTATCATTGGTTTAATACTGGGTACTTATTTAATAGCAGGTAGTGTCAAAACCTCCCTTCTTATATAATCTCATTTCACATAACCTCCCTTATCTCATCTAACCTAAGTTATTCTCTTGTTTATTTTTTGTTTCTTGTGTTAGCTGTGAGTTAGTGTTATTTAATTATGGATGTTGTCACATTGTGGGAATTTCCGTCTTCAGAAGAAGACGCTATAAAATATTTTCAAGACGCCGGGATATTTGCAAAGGTCAAATATTGTGATGAAGGTCATCAAATGAAGTTCGACAGGAAGGAGTTAAATGTTTAAAAACGTGTTTTTTAAAAATAAAATTCTGTTATTAAATAAAGAACTGTTCGCTAAGAAGACAAATAAATGGTCTTCATCGCCCTTACTGATAAGGACCCAGTTCTAGTAATCTATTTTTTATTTTATTTATTTAATGAAATTTACAACTGTATAAACAATACAACTAATAAAAATGAATGTACACATTAGAAATAATGACATAAATAGACTTGAAGAGAACTACCCAGTTCTAGAACTCCCTATTAAATTCTAGGTGAGAAGATCACCAGGCCATCTTCTTTTCAGATGCCTAGGGGGATTATCAGGAATCGAGGAAGAAGCAAGACTGCAAATAAGTGGATTCGGATGGGTCTGGAGTTTATCATGAAAGGATAGGTATCTGGACCGGGCTAAATTAGTGGCATATGGGACATTAAGGTCTTTATGAATGGTTTTATTTGTGACAAAGGATTTTGGATAGTAAGGATTGGACTAGTAATCTAAATAACCATTAATTGGATTTATTTTAATATATGTATGTAAAACTTAATATTTAAATAGTTTTTTATTTATCATTATTTATTTAACAACAATCTTTCCTTCATATGTTTAGAAGTTACAAATCATGAAAACATCAAAAACCTCAAAAGATTTATGTGATGTCTAAAGCCGTGGGGGATAAAATTCTCTCAGATCTCTCCATTGAAGTCTCTAAGAACCGGGAGGAAGGGACAACAATATCAGACCATGGCAAAGTTGTCCCAATGAAAGAAATGAAAACGCCGGCATTATCCGCTCACTGCAGACATTAGAGAAGAAAGTAGACGCGGTCGCTAAAAACGAGTAACGACCTCAGGTACCAGGGTTCAATTCGCCATTTAGGAGGGAAAGGAGACCGTAATAGGATCAGGGGAAAGGATCCTTCGTGGAAGACCCTCTCTGATCCAGGATTACCTCAGGATACCTCTCCTTTGAGATCTTCCTACAATGGATAAAGGAAAAAAAATCGATGACGAAATTACGGCACGAAACTTAAGGTGTATTCAGCTCACAGTATCTTTCTTGCTTTAGATCAGGCGTATTTCCTTCCAGGTCACCCAGAACTTAGGAGGAAAATAGTGCACTTGCCCTCGGTAGAATTAAGGAAGTGACAAATCATGAGGGAAATTTCATTTTTAGGACAAGTAAAAAGTATTTCTTTCACTTTTTTAAAAATTGTTTTGTACTTAATTCAGTTAATAAAGCGAGTTAATGTTATAAGATGAATTTTATTTCGAAATACATTATCTGAAATGACTTTATAATTTTTTTTTTTTTTTTACGATTATTGGGATAAGGGAGAAAGGAGGGGTACTCTGCAGCACTGAACCCTTTTTATAAAATTATTAACATCCGTCTCAAAACTTCGGGAATAGCTTCATCTTATTGTAAGCTATTTCATTTTATTGTAAAAGCCTCGTTGTGTCCTATAGAAATTCAGAAAATTTTCTTGCTGCTTTTAGAAGAATTCAAAGAATACAACGTAATGTATACAGATTCTTCAAAAGGTTAGAATTCAGAGGTTGGGTGCAGGGATGCCCATCTCTCCCAAGGTAAATGACGCAAGAAACTACTCCTCCACCCTTCTCCCAAGATATTTTATTCCTCACCTTCCTTAAAAACAGAGCAAGCTAAGATAGAATTAGAAAAACGTAATCATATTTAAATACACTAGCTGCAGTCAGTTTCATGTGTTACCCTTGTCTATTAGTCCGGAAATTCAACTTCGCAACTTGCCCCATGAAACCCCCTGCTGGGTATCAAAGAAAATTAAACCTTTCTCTACAAATTGCCTGAAGCCTGCTAAATCTTTACGAGAGAAACAACTGCCATAAAGATAGTCCTTCAAGATAGTCAAGCAACCAACCACCAAAAGGTCATTGTATCTGATTCAATGAGTGTACTGGCAATTAGAAACCAAATACCGTAGGATGGGTTAACTTTGGGTGTCTTTTCAAAGTTTTAAGCTGCTTCTATCTTTATTTTCAAAGTTAAAATGCTGAAAAAATTATTAATATATAAGGTCAGTCTCCCGCTTACAAAATATAGCAGAGCTCTAGAAACGAGAATATTTTAATAAAAAAAAGTTTAAATTTGTCCTAATCATACCCCATCCATTGGGGTACAATTGGGACAGTGCATTATCTAAATTAGAAACGATAGGAAACATGGCTTTGTTACTCCACAATATTGTATAGGCTCATTATTTACATATGAAACAACAAGAAAAACGTGTGTACCAATTTTACTCATAAATACTATATTTAAGAGAATATAAGAATAATAAATTCGTATTAATGTAACAAAAAGATTCAGAAACGAATCTGCCCAATCATTTCCCGGTAAGTTATTTTTGAAGCGAGTTACTTTTCTTCCAATCTTATCAAGACACGATTTTACAACACTATGTAAATCAAATGTGTTGACTTGAAATCCCGTAGTTTGACATGGCAACAACATGCGCGACTATCTGTTCCTCTTCTTCTGTTGAAAACATTGTAGGCCGCCTACGAAGTTTTCCTTGGGAATACAGATGCAGTGTATTTTTCGTAATTTCGTAATTTTCGTAAATCCCGTTAAATAGCTCAATGCAATGAGATCTGGAGAAGAAACCCCTCCAAAACTTGTCCAAATAAAAGCAAGCATTGCTAAATGGTTTACTAGTAACAGGAAATCAAGAAAAGAGAAAATAATCCTGTGCTGTGAATTTTCACACGGTTACTTACTACACATTCTTCAGTCTTTCCTTTTCGACAGATTGTTCTCTGTCCGACAGGGTTTAGAAATTTCTTCAATTCGACTAATATCAGCAGGGGTGCCTCAAGGATCAATATTGGCACCTTTACATTGTCTATACCCTTGACATGCCTACCACCTCTGAAACATTGACTGCTACTTGCGCTAACGATACAACAATTTTAACAAAACACCACGACCCCCTTATTAAATTTACAAAATCACTTAATAAATCTACAAAATTGGTATTCACTTTGGAAAATTAGATTAAATCATGACTAATCATAATACATAACATTTACGCTTCGACGAGACACATGCCCACCAGTTTATATCAGCAACAATCCAGTTCCTCAGACGGACACTATACGCTACCTCGGGCTAATATTTGACAGAAGGATGACCTGAAAATTCTCTTAAATAGGGCATTTTATCATTAAATTAATTAACTTTGATGAGATTATAAAAACTCGCGAATATCCTTTTAAATTTTACTTGAATCAAAAGATAATTCGATCACATTATTGAGAAAAAGGGTAGCCTACAGAAATACTGGGCCGTTTGGCCGGTATAACCTCGATATTTTGACAAGTTGACAAGGTTACGCAGATAGGCTCAATATTATTGTGATTAAACTATTTCACGATTCAAATGGAAAGAAATGAGTGTTAATGAGTTTTAAGTGCCATTTTAAATAGACAAAGCCTACCAATCTCCTGATTGAAAAACGCTCTATTTCGAAGAATTTCCGCAAATTAAAAAAAATGGTAGGTTATGATGCGAGGAAGCCATCCACGAAGTTTTAGACATATTAATAATTTGATAAGCAGGGGCCTGTATCGCGGACTATTTAACTATTTTCCCAAGTATTTTCACTTCGGTCATTGGTCCCGCAACGCTTCCTGTGAGAAGATTTGTAACAAATCAGAAAGAAACAAAAATACGATTATGTCGAAGATATATAAGTAAGAACACTGTTGGATTGTGATTCTTGAAACTTATTTCTGTACTATTAACCGACAATTTCACCACACTACGTAAACAACACGTTGAGTATTGAAACCCAAGACCTCTGTTGTTGACTCAATAATTCAACACCGCGAAGACACACGACCCACACGTAGGAAAGGTCAGTCAATACCTTAAGTCTTAGCATTATCCCGTCATCCTATACCACGCCATCGATAGCTGCATGATGCAATGCTGCGCAAGACACACCACTAACCCGGAGATGTAATTACTGATAAGGAAGTGAACCAACCTTTGGATATGTCGTCGGACATGAGCCGCTCGGTTGTCTTCCAGTCGGTGGTTAGCCTCTTCACGAGGAGGTAAGCGTTGATCGGGTTGCTCAGGTACTCGCTCACATCGTTACTGGCAATCCTGTGCTCGTTCTTGTACTCTTCAGCTTTCCTGAAACAGAAGTGGAAGATCATTAAAATATAGTAGGCAATAAAGGATATTAGAGAAGAGAAAGGTGCATTTAGTTTTCCATGACTGGGGTATGCTAGTAGGTATATTATAAAACTAAAAACATCATGGGCCTGATTCTTAAGTCGAGATTCGAGATCTCTTATTAGATCATTTCGGCTCAATCTTTTACTAGCATGGATTCTTTTGATCTTGGATAAACTGTTGTGTGAGAAACGATCTTAAAACGAAGTGAATTTAAATTTTATTTACATTTACAAAACAAACCAGAAAAAAACAATCCTTTGTGTTATAACTGAGCTTCTGTTGAATACGTACTATATTCTTTAATAACATTAATATGGACAAACAACTTATGGGACCTTTCCCTCCAAAAATCTGGAATACTTATACTGGAACTTCAAAGAATGAAACGACAAAATTGCTCAAAAATAAAAAAAGGGAGTATCTTAAAAATAAGATAATTGAAATAGAAACTAATAGAATTGAAAATAAAGTAAGAGACAGGCACAAAGGTATAAACAGATCACGTAAATTTTTAGGACTCTTCACACCTGGAATTAGGTATGAAAATAACAATAATCTGACCGATCCGGTAGACCTATTAAATAAGTTTAAGAGCCACTTTGACAGTATTTTAAATACGGGAACTTATGATCTGTGTCCTCCTTCTGAGTACCAGAAAACTAAAATCTTATAAAGCAGCGGGAACCGATAATATTCCTTCTGAACTAATTAAGGCATGCGGGGAAGCTGGAGTTTCTAAAATACATCTGTTGGTTAAAAAGATCTGGATGAATGAGAAATTACCATGAAGAATGCAAAGAATCTATTCTTATTCCGATTCACAAAAAGGGTTCGAGGACAGATTGTAATAACTATCGAGGAATTTCACTCCTTCCGGTATGTTATAAAATATTCACTTTAATCCTAACAAGTCGAATCACGGAATACGCCGAGGAAATTATCGTGACTACCAATGTGGATTTAGACGGTATCGTTCGACTATTGATCAAATATTTTCTTTACTGCTAATATTGGAGAAAAAAATAGAGTACAGGCTCCTAACAATAGCCTTTTGTTATTAATATAATAAAAAAACGAATCAACACGCAAGCGAATGAAAATTTAAAATGTTAAGAGACGACCCATTATAACAAGTATACACGACGAGATAGTTATCTGTCTTAAGTTGTTTAAAGAGAAAAGAAATTTTCTCCTTGCGCATAATCTGTTGATCCTTAAGTTGTTTGCCAACACAACTAAGTGATAAGATTGAACGGTCGTTCAATGAACGAAACTCAAAAGTCAATAGAATCTACCCAAGAGAAACTTGGGGGAAGAAAGGTAAGTTAAATTATGGCATTTAACGAATCAAACAAAATGGAGAATATAACTAGACTTTTAAAGACTTAATGCATATTAATAGGAATTCATTTAGGTACTCATCAACACAATTCGACTATACGGTAAAAAGGCTGGCTGGATACGAGAGCTTTGTCTGATCATCGTAGAGAGCAATCTGTCTTCATTATATCATCAGAAGTTTGTTTTACATTTTCAAAAATGAAATCAATAACCCTTCTTTGTGATAACCAATGGAGGATATCATTCCATCCTTCCCTCATTCAGCTTAATGTTTCAAAATAGAAAAAATCCAAGCCCCTAGTAATCCAAAACTCCCGGTAATCCGAACAAGAAAAAAAAGAGTTAAAATTGACTGCCGAGAGAAGGAATAGAAATGGTACTGTTTCTCAGTACTTATTGGCTTTGCTTAGTGTGTTAATGTCTAATAGTGTAAAATACAATACACCCCACAATGGTGTCTCAAAATAGAAACTACAAAAACCAGAAGGTCATCCAGAAGTTGAGGAATCGCTGTATAGGTTGTTTTGGTAACAGATATAACAAAGTTGTTCATTTTCTGGGAATACATTAGATGAAAATGCTAAAGTTCTTCTTTAACATTTTTAACAATATTCCACTGATCTCTGTCGAACAGATCCGTTACCTAGGACTCCTTCTTAAAAAACGCCTTACCTGGAATCCTCATACTAGACTTAAAAGACAAGAAACTGCCAACAGATTCCGACTACTACAACACTTACTTGACAAACGCTCTAAACTTCCAATATTCTACAAAAAACTCATTTACACTACCATCATCAGGCCCATTTGGACATACGGTATTGAGCTTTGGGGCTCTACAAAAACATCAAATTCTTCCTGTATCCAATCCTTACAATCCAAAATCCTCCGTAAAATTCTAAATGCTCCTTATTATGTAACAAATAAAATTATCCATAAAGACCTCAACATTCCTCTTGTGGAAGACTTGTCCCGAACTAGATATATCTCTTTTCATTCTAAACTCTTTGGTCACCGCAATTTGTAACCTTTCATCCAACACAATTCCTGACAAACCTCCGATGCATCTGAAAAGAAGATGGCCAAGGGACCTCCTAAATTAACTTATCTTTGAAGTGTTACCAGTGGGTAGCTTCTTCACAAGTTCCTTCATGTAATATATTCCTATAGCAAATTTACTGGTTGTATATATCTTTACAGCTGTAAATTTCAATAAAACAATAAAAAAAATACATTTTTCTTTTAAGAACGATGATATAGCAGATTATAATGGCAGTAAGGTTGGCTTGATAATTTTAAAAGGAGGCAGGGAATAAGTTTTTCATTTCACTGGAAAACTTTTTTACACCAATTTTATTTTTCATTATAGACAAGTCATAGAAACGCCATAAGAGTATTTAATACTTGCTTGGAGTGGGCAAATGGATCGACTACTGAAGCCTGGAACTTTAAGGGAATTTGGGAGATCAGGCGGTTTTCTTTAGCAACAGAATCAGAGACTCGTCGTACATTATACAATCATTTTCAGAAATTATATTTTTGTTTTCAATATGTTTATGTTTAACTGAAAATATATATAGAATATTTAATAGTTGACCGTTGCATTATAAAGGATGGTCAGGGGTGGCGGTCATAAATAGGCTAAATAGTGGCAAAACTATTTTATTTTAACGTTTCGACCCGACTCTGCAGGTCTTCTTCAGGGAGGTGTGTTCAGCTAGGAGTTTCACTCAGAATTCCTTACAACTCAGTTTTAAGTGAAACTCCGAGCTGAACACACCTCCCTGAAGAAGAACTGCAAAGTCGGGTCCAAACGTTGGCTTTTAATAAAATAGCCACTATTTAGCCTATGTATGACCGCCACCCCGGACCATCTCCTTCATTTGAAATAAATATATATATTTTCGTCATCTTGTGCAATTTTTGAATAATTTTAAATTTAACATTTTGATAATTTGAACAGACCCTGAAATGTACGTGGTACTTTCAAGACCGTCTTTATGGCGACCTATTTAGCAATATATTTTAAAAATTATTAAAACCATAGATTTATTATAATGATTCAATGATTTTTCGGTCATTACAATATAAACGGTAATATAATAATGACATTGAACACTTTAAAAATAAAAGGTATTGCCAACTCTGTTATGGAAGAGAAGACTGCTTTGGATGCTTGTACTGTACCCACTTAGAATAAGGTACTAACTAAGTACCCTCTGGCGGTACTTTATATCTTGCCGCTAAGCGGGGCGATGATATCATCAGCTGGTGGTATCTCTCTCGCCGGCTGTTTTATAACTTAAGAGTTCAGCTATCTCCTCTCTGCCTTGTTTCACTTCTATAACAGTTCCAAGTAGAGATGAGGAATGTGTAGTCAAACCGTTACGAAATTTAACGGTTGCTGAGGAGTTTTAAAACTAAAAAAAACAAAAACAAAAAAACAACCATGGTGTCCAACTCGGAGAAGATCTGACTAAAAATGTATATTTTCAACATGTCAGACAGACATAAAAAAAAAATCATTTTAATATATTACAATAATTTCATTTTTACTTTAATTTTGACATAATAATGACTTTATAATATTATAAAAGTAGTTGGCCCGTGGGAAAAATTCGCTGAAAATTTAGTTTAGTGAAAAAATAGCAAAACAATATGGAAGTAAGTAATTCCTATTTATTATGTAAGGAATGAATTATTAATTTTTTCTTGGTCGATTACAATATTTCATTAAACATAATAGACAAAAATATTTGTACAAATTGCTTTGCTAGGACCTATTTTTAAACGCTGACTGGAAATATAATAAAAGTAATAAAGACAAAATAATGCCCCGATCATGTGATATTCTAAATTATTAAAAAAAAAAAATAAAATGTAAGTACAACCAAATGGTTTTAAGAAATAATAAAGTTAATATATCAGCCAGGAAAAAAAAAATGTAGTAGACTATTGTACTCCTAAATGCAATAACTTTAAACAGGAAGACATTATTAAGTATACAAAAACTAAAATGGACTGTATCTTTGTTAATAATTGTCCGATTTTTAAGATTTTTTGTTTGTTTTGTAGGTAATTTAGTTACCTTTCTAATTATCGTGGGTACAATTCAGAAAAAAATGCATACTTTTTGAATTACTCGCAAATAAAGTTTCTTTTCCTTCACAACCCAGAAATTTCGGAGGAGGATAGGACTATTTTTCGCATGTGAAGGAGAAGAATATCTTCAAAATGAGTGGTCAATCATTGGATTTGATGAAGAGATGACGAAGTTATGGCGCACCGACAAAAAACACCTTTTAGAAATAATATTTAGGATAATAATATAATAATTAACGGAACATAGCTGAGTTTGTCCATTCAATAGTCTTCTTTAAATAGTTTCAACAATGACAAACTCTACTTTCCTTTGAATTAAATTTTATCTAGTTTACTATTAAGCAACGTTTAATTCCTAAAATCAAATATTTTTTTGTTATCGCTTCCTATTCAACAAACAATTTGACTTGCTTAAAAAAAAACAAACACAAATCTTAAATTTCCTACTTTTTTGCTGGAAATTGGGCAATAATTTATTTGAACTTTTTTGTACATCAAGATGTCTAATATCAACATTTTAAATATTTCTATCTATTCACGTAATATCCTATATATCAAATACAATTACAACAAGCGCATAATTTTTTTATTTCACAAAGAGAAAATTCACAATGTTCTTAGTGATTTAGGTTATGAAAAGTCATTTAATGACTTTTTACATTATATATATCTCATTTTGGTATCGATATTATTCGATAACGATAAGGGATATCGAAAGTTGCCCGATATCGTAACAGCCCTAAAGACATGTATTATAAGTAAAATTAGTTTTATCTACTTATGTTATGAAATATCAAAATCTTTCCTTTGTATAACCTCGTATATTATAATGATAGGACGATGAAGACTTTCCCTGAACGTGCGGAATAATTTAATCGATTCACGCCAATTTCAACTTTTACTTCAGAGAGCCATTGATGTTTGGGTTATCAGGGTATTCAAAGCTAAATATGACACAATTTATACTGATAGCCTCTATTTGACACATAACAACCTGCTATGAACGAATTAACCTATCTTACAGCCAGCCTATCACACTCGGCCATGATCATAAAATATTTTATAGTGATGTACATCGGATTATGAAAACAAAATTCATTAAATTAGAATTGAATCAAAGAGTAGACAGGAATTTACAACAGTGGCATAAAGTAGATTACTGAAACCTGCCTGGAAATAAAAAGTTCACCATATGAATCACCAAATCAAGCAGGGCCAGATTAAAATCCTGAGAGACACTAAGTACTTAGAAAATTTAATGAAAAAACCGCTGCGTATTATTACACAATGGTTTATTATTTCTAAACAATTATATATCAAAAGTAACATTGCTTTCCTTGTAACATAAGAAAAAATAAATAAAATGTAATTCCTAATATTGGCCTAAATAATTTTTTATTTCATTATTAGTAATTTGCTAAGAAAAATAAAACACATTGATTCAGTCGATATATCACTTTCAGAATATTAAAATTCAAAACAAAGGAAAACATCTGGTATGTCCACACACAAGACTTTCCTACCTTCCTTAAAAGTTTTTATTTCTTTACATATGTCCATCCAGAAACAAAAAAAACAAAATTGAATTAGATTTATTTTCCTGAAAATTGATGAAAGAAAAGATTTGAGTACGATTTATTTGATAAACTAAAGCAATGTAAACCGGCTTAAGGTAGATCGGTGTACAAATTTCAATATCCTCTAATATTGCTGATCAAAAACTTTTTGATACAGCCTAATTTTATTTTGTTTTTCGGACTTGAAACGTATAGATCCGTCGAAAACTGCATATCGGAAATTGGACCCGATCGTAATACTTTCCTTACCTAGTATAGCTAGGAAAGTAATAAACTTTTCAGTAGAACATATGAAAGGAATTAAAAAAAACAACACATCTTTGTAATTAATTAATGTTTGTAATTAACCGCCAACATAGTAACGCAATATTTTTTTCTTTTTGATTAAATAATTTCTATCTAGCAAAGAGGTAGAATAGATAATGACATCACCTAACAGCTCAAAGCTATTATGGACTCTAATATTTACATAACCTCTATTCTAAAAGAATGGTTGATATTAGCTGTTCGGATGCGCTTGATTAGAAGAATATGACTATTTTTAGTGATAAAATATTTCTTTGGAATATGCTTAAAAATGTTTAAGTATATTTTGTATTATATTAAAAATGTTTCTCAAAACTGTCCATGAGCCACTGAAATGCGACTGATGCCAAAAAATATTCCAAATTGAGAACGCATATTCCAAGTTATGCGTTCTCAACCTGGAATAGAAACCTCTCGCAACTTAAACGACATGGCCACAACTGAAATGCCCATCAGGAGACGACTAAAGAGGGGCTTGTGGTTACTATTCTTCCTCATGCCTAAAATGCCAATTTTCTTTTCTGCATCACATCTGCTTATTGTCAAGACTATGACATGTGTGGATAAAAATATGAAGAGAACAAATATTAAAACAAGAATACTTAAAAAGTACAATTAAAATATTAAAAATTTCAAGAAGAAAATTTGACAAAAAACAATAAAATTAAATATTAAAAGAAGAAAAAAATAACAGATATATTTACAATTAGAAAAAAACTTACAAATTTCATAACTTAACAGGTATATTTAAAATTACAAGAAGAACAGTTTAAAGGGACAATTTAAATTTACATATTAAAATCACAGAAAGAAGAGTTACAAAATAAGGTAACATAAGAAATGAAAAATGGTAATCGTAGAATAAAATGTAAAACAGAGAAAAGGAATATGAAGTTATATAAGGAAATAATAGATATAAATTGAAAATTAAGATATCGTAAAATCTATCAAAAATACTGACTACGTATAAGAGAATAAAAAGTTAAAATACTGTTAAAAAGATTAAAGTGAAAATATATCAATATATATAAAATAGAGACGGAGATATGGAAAATATAGTGACGGGAAGCGGAAAAAAAAGGAGAAAACTAAGATAGAAAAAATAAATAAAAATAATAATGAAGACATCAACTTCGGACCGGAACGTCGGCAAATGTAAAAATAAATATTAATAATAATGATAATAATAAAAGACTTAGCGAACCCGAAGGTTCGATACCGACACCACCAATAGCTTACAGCTCCCTCCACCGCTCGCCGTCCAAACTCAGTCCCTTCAGATCGGCTTTAATGCAATCTTCCCACCTTCGCTTTGGTCTACCCCTCGGACGTTTACCATTCGGTACAGTAAATATTAACCTTTTAGGAATTTTCTCGTTACTAAGCCCAACAATTTTACAAGCCCAATTCATTCGCCGCGATGAAATTACCTCAATCATATTACCCGGATACAGTTCGCGCAATTCGGCGTTGTGTAACCGTCTAAACTCTCCGGTTAATTCATCCTTCTTCGCTCCGAATATTCAACGCAATACTTTATTTTCAAAAACCTTAAGACGCTGCTCATCCCTTAATGTAAGCGGCCAAGTTTCGCATCCATAAAGAACTGTAGGTAAGACAATGGTTTTATAGATTCTAATTTTTAAGTTCCGAGACAAGAGCTAAGTAGTTTTGTCACAGAAAAATAACAAGCATTTCTCGCCTTCAGTCTAACCTTAATCTCTTCTTCAATTTCGTTTTTTCTAGTTATCGTAGAACCCTAGATACCTAAATTTCTCTGCCTGTTCAAACCTATTACCATCTATATCGATATAAGCAGTAGTATCGCCATTTTTGCAACTAACGATATATTTTGTTTTAACCGAGTTTATTTCGAGCCCTAGTTCTTTACCGGCTTTCATTAATGTTGTCGTATTTAGTTTTATAGTTTCCACGTATTCGCTTAACAGTACAAAAAATTAAATAAATATTATTATTTATTGTTGCTATTTTTATTTAGACTGATCACCCTAACCATCCTTCTCTTATTATTTACTATATTATTATTATTCACTACAGTCAACCATCAACTCACAATTATCTGGCGTAATATAGTTATGATAACTACATACCTCTTGAGCTCCGCTACCCTGGCTTCTGTCTGGACGACGAAGTTCTCCAAGGCCTGGATGAAGACCGCCTCAGTGTCCAGGAGTTCCTCCAGATCGGCGAGGGCAGTGAAGACCTCTGCGGAGACACAGCTGGCCGAGAGGAGGAGGAACCACACCGCGCACCACCTCATCTCTGCAACAACAACAAGGAGGTTGTTGAAAGGTTAAGGGATAATCAACATAATCAGCATCATCTACTAGGTTCAGAAATTACTATTGATAATTGAGGGTACAATTGCATATCTGTATTCTGTTAGGTAACTTTGTGCATAAAATTACTTGAATCCTATCTAGAAAGTTATTGGTTTTGTTGTGCAAGAGAAATCTTTGACCCGAAAATGCCTGCCTATTACTGAAGATCAAAAGTTCATCTGAAATAACAAATCCAGTATCATCATGTAGCAGCAGGAGTGGTGGGCTGTGAATATTGTTGAATACTAGTCAATCCAATAGAACAAAATAATATGTTTAGATTTTTATTTAACATATAATTTAGCTCTTAAATACACGTTTGAACATGTTTCAAAATACGATGAGGTCGGACATGTGAATGGGGTATTTGGTTTGTTTCGCACATGCTTCCCTGTGTTCGTTGCCGATCTTATCTAATATTTTAGAATAATAATTTTTAGGTACAAATCAAAGGAAGCGCCACATCAGCTACCATTTATTCAGTTTCGTCTTACATCAAATCTGGTGTCGAGCGACTCTCCTAGCGCATACCTAGGATCTATAAAGTGGGTACCCATAATTACATAATTAATTTGGAGGCGGTTGAGCGTGATCTCGGTCAAATCAACTCCCTGCACAACAGTAGAACAATAAATAGCACTTCCTTCAAAGTACTGAAAGAGAGACTCTTCAGTGGTTGTAGTGATATAGGTTATTACTTTCATTTACCTATATATGCAACACTGGCGGATCCAGGATTTAATTTTGGAGGGCTTCGCCCGAAAGTTTTTTTTTTCATAAAAATAATATGAAAAAAAGAAAGAAATTAACTACATATATGAAATGGTGATTAAGTGGTTCCTGAAGTTCTATTACATGTAATTACAGGAACAAGAATACTTTAAGAGATAGTTTTCAATATTTTTTTTTGTAAAACATGGTTGTATTTTACCATTTTGGGAGGGAGCTTCAGCCCGAAAGCCCCCCTCCCCCCCGTAGATCCGCCTGTGATATGCAATATATAGTAAGGGTAAGTATTGCGATCGTAAACATTTTCGAGTCTGAGTTTTCAATGGAACTACATGTTTTTAGGTCTCCTGAGTCCAAATAACCAAGTCCCGCAAAATGGTCTGAGTGTGTGTATGTGTATGTATGTTATCAGTCTAGCTCAAAAACGAAAAGACGTATTAAATTGAAATTGCATATTTAAGGTTTTTGTAAGCTTTCGATGTTACAGCAACATTTTCGTCAAAATCGGCACTGGTACTTTATATAATTGCTTTAACATATTTTTACGATTTGCTCAAAAACGGCTCTAACGATGTTGATTAAACTCAGTATATCAGTGTATTATTAAGCAGTTTTTAATATGATGTAGGTTTTACTTTATTGATGTTCTCTAAAAGAGCTTAAATGGATAATTTTCAATATTAGTTTCCTGTAAAGTACTTTTATTTTTTTTTATTTGAAATAATTAACCATTTCACATTAATCTTTGATATAAAAATAGATAAATATGTAAGAATTGGATAATTAACTAAAGGAGAAATAAGAGATCGTAACGGATAATACTATCTGTATAATTATAATCCTTAGGAAATACTATAAAATAAAATGAAATGTATTTCGACAGGAAGAGATCTAAAACCGCTGATTCACGGCAGTTAAAAAACTGCTTGGAAAGAGATTCCGTTAAAGTTGCTGATGACCAAAGCAGTTCCATGCATGTCCTTGGAGCCGGTGATTGCTCGAGGAGCCTGCTGTACTCCTATTAGCAAAGCCTTCCTTAAGGACCTTTCTAGAAGAGATCCTTGAACCAGTGACCTCTGCCCGGGAGGCCGTTAGCTTTCATTTATCCCCTGAACTTGAGGTGCCGTCTGCGAATATCATTTATCAGCCTCCTTTATTATGATAATGAAGGATTATGATTGAGGAGTAACCGGGAAGGTTATTAGAGGAATCCAGGGTTACCCAATAAAAATGTCTGTACTCAGTGGACGCAAAATTTGATGCTCTGCAACTTTGATTCTGTGGGTTTTTCCTCTTAAGGAACTCATTTTCATGTAACAAGGCCATTTATAGTAATTTGTCTCAGTTTTTTGATAAATTTGGTAAAAATAAGCGTTGGTTGACCGTAGTTGTATACCTTGCCACATAACCAAATTATAAAGTTTATGTACTCGTTTGACGCAAAATTTAACGTTGTTTAATTTATTAAAGTGTATATTTTTCGTTTTGATGCATCGTTTAGGAGTTATAGGTAAAAAAACAAAAAAATATCGAAAAAATCCGATTTTTTTTCCTGTAAAAAATTTTCCTTAGGTGATCCAAGTTACAATTTTGTTTTTTACAAGTCTAAACTCATATATACAAGTTAAAAAAATAAAATCTTTCCTCAAATTTTTTGCAATGGATTTCCCGTTTCGATCCTCAAATTACTGGCCTAATATTATTTAAATCAGCTTCCATTTTTTAAACCAACGGCTCTGGATTGGCAGACAAGGTTCTTTTTACTCTGAATAACATATATTTTCTTAATTTACAATCCTTCGTCGTAAACCAATGACTTCCTGTCCTTTACCTTTACCTAATGAACTTCACTATCCTTTAACAACACCTCACTTATTCCTGTTGAACAAATCCGTTACCTAGGACTCCATCTGGACAAACGTCTAACTTGGAATCCTCATACCAGACTGAAACGACAAGAAACAGCTCGACGTTTCCGACTACTTCAACACTTACTAGACAAACGCTCTAACCTCCCAATTAATTATAAAAGACTGATTTACATGACTATAATAAGGCCTATTTGGACTTACGGAGTTGAGCTATGGGACTCCGCCAAACCTTCGAATTCCTCTCGCATACAATCCTTACAATCCAAAATCCTTCGTAAAATCCTTAATGCTCCTTACTTTGTTACAAATAAAATTATCCATAATGACCTTAATGTTCCTTATGTATCAGAGTTGGCCCAATCCAGATATCTGTCCTTCCATAATAAACTTCATAACCATCCCAACCCTCTTGTCTCTAACCTTGCTTCCTATTCGATTCCTGATAACCCTCCGAGACGTCTGAAAAGAAGATGGCCACGTGATCTTCTAATATAGACATATTGTTAGAGTGCTACCAATGGGTAGTTTCTCAACATGTGTTCCATGTCTTTATACCAATGTGCGAATTTACCAGATGTATTTTTTGTATAAAGTTGTAAATATCATATAAATAAATAATAAATAAATAAAAATAATTTACAATCAAAACTTCGCCAGCGATGAGATCGATTTTTAGGCCCTGGCTCTAGGTCTATTGGTACAATATACCAAAATGCCAACCACTAGTTGGTAGGGTTTTCTGAAATATACTATGTATTGAAATATTAATATATCTACAAAAAAATACAGAGAGGAATTTAGTGAAAGAGAATTTTCGGTTCGGGGACTTTGGTTCGGAAGTAGGGGATTTTTCTTTCAAACATTTTTTTTTTTTTTTTTTTTTTTGGAAAAGGTGGGTGTTGAAAAATGAAGTGCAGAGTAAGGCGGAATCGATTATTTTTAAATCGCTGGAATCCTGTAAGATCACCAATATTAATTCTGGTCATTGTTTTACGAGTTCTAGGAACAATAAGGAGAAAGAAGAAAAAGAGGAAAAAGAAAAACTACTAATAAACGAAGCATAACATTCGGTATGTAGGATGATAATTCCGTAAAACATCATCATTTTTGTGTTCTTTTCTTAAAAATTATCGATCAGACTGATCAGTATGCTGATCAGCAAATCAATACGGTTGAGCAATTTTATGATTGTCGATCGATTATGGTCGATTGTCTTTTTACATCGATATTTTTGTCCGATAGTTTTAAATAGATTTATTGCAATATCGATATTCAAGTCTGACTATTGAAAATCCACCTTTTCGTAAAAAAAAAAAAAAAAAAAAAATTGAAAATATCTACAAAGAAAATTCAGGAGTACTGTTCTGGAGACTTGTCTCGTTGACATCTTTATTTTTTTTATCAGTACATGAAAATGAGAATATCGTTAAAGTGGTTTTTAAGGGATAGCATTGCTCCAGTTAGTTTATAACGGCCTGGTTTATAACTATAAACTAAAACTGTGGATCTTTTTTACTTAAGTATCGCCAGTTACTTTTTTGTCATTTATTCAGAACTTTTACAGATTTGTCAAATACCCATTATTTAATAAAATATTACGATTGTACTAATGAGTTGTTACCTAAATCATAAACTTATTGTTTTATAGTCTGCGGTACAGACCCCTTTTTATCGAATTATTAACATCCGCCTGAAACTTCGTAAATAATTTCATTTCATCGTAAACTACAACTATTATATTTCCGAATACTCTTGGAATTGGGGCGTTTGGATGGGGGCAAACTTTTTCCATTTAATTATTTAATAAAAAATCGTAAATTCTTATTTGCTTTCTTCTTGGCTCGTCAGATAATTTGATCACAAAATCGAGAAAAAGAGGGCCTTAAAAAATTTGAACCATTTGGCGTGGCCTAAACCCCCAAATTTTCAAAATAACGAGGTTATATAGAAAAATGGCCCAACATTTTTGCAGGCCACCTTTTTTTACCGATTTTGTGATCAAATTATCTTACGATCAAAGTAAAAAGCAAATGTGTCGGTATAACAGAATATATTGTTTAATATTAATTTTCAATAAAACATTTCTTCTTTTCATGAGATATGATTTCTAAATAATAACTGTTATTTTACAGAAATAAAACGCGGTTATTAAAAGTGATTGGCGAAACTTAATAAAATTGACAAGTTGTGATACTTGAATAAAAAATACCCAAAACTGTTATGACTTTTATGTTCATCGGTCTTATTAAAATATTTTAAAAAATTTAAATTATTTTAATAAATAGTTTGGAAAAAAAACATTTCCCTTCAAATCTAACCCTAATAAATTATTTCAAAAGAAA